TACAGTGGATTTGATCTTCCCATTGAGTCTGTGGCACACTCACCCAGGGTACAGTGGATTTGACATCTCCATTGAGTCTGTGGTACACTCACACAGGGTAAAGTGGCTTTGGCCTCCCATTGAGTCAGTGGCACAATCACCTCAGGGTACAGTGGATTTGACCTCTTCATTGAGTCTGTGACACACTGACACAGGGTACAGTGGCTTTGACCTCCCATTGAGTCATGTGGCACAATCACTCAGGGTACAGTGGATTTGGTCTCCCATTGAAGTCTGTTACACTCACTCAGGGTACAGTGGGATTTGACCTCCCCATTGTGTCTGTGGCACACTTACCTCAGGGTACAGTTGATTTGGATCATCCCAATTGAGTCCGTGAGCACACTCACACAGGGTACAGTGGATTTGACCTCCCCATTGAGTCTGTGACACACTCACATACATTTTTGTAGGGTACAGTGGATTTGGCCCTCCCATTGAGTCTATGGCACACTCACCCAGTGTACAGTGGATTTGGCCTCCAAATTGAGTCTGTGGCACACACCCAGGGTACAATTCTCACCTCATTAGCACTGCTCTTTCTTTCTATGGCATCAGTGACCTCATTTAATTTTTTATCTTTAGCTAAATCAAATGCAGTTTTCTCTTCCTTCTCTATCTGCACAAGATACAAAACAAATATATGACTACATTACATATATAATAAATGCCAAGCCATGGGAGGGGTGATGGGATGGATATTTGAGGGACATGGTAGCCAATAATAACTTTATTATACTACAGCACTATCAGTGGTTGCAGTATGGTAAGGATACAGATCAGAAGAAAAAAAAACACAAATAAACAAAAAAAGTTTCAAAATTACAAACATAACAAATAAAGGGTATATATAAAATAAGGATTCACAATTATATATTGTATTTTTTAAGTATTTTGCAAGTGCAGTACTACTATTTAAAATGCAAGTGAATATTAAATTTTGGTTAGCTTTATTACACATTTTTAATTTACAGTCTTCTAAGGGGGTATTTCTTTCTTGAGTGAAGAAATGTATATAGAAGAAAACCACCCAATACGTGTATTATTAGTGAAAAAAAAAAATAATCAACTGTGTTCACATCACCTTGGTATGCACTCATAGGGCATGCGAGGTCACACTAATTTGCTGAAATAATCACAGCTGTTTCATAAGATAACATCCAAACAGCATCACAAAAATGTTTTTTTGTTTTGTTATCTTTTAACTAGGCAGTGAAATGATAATCTAACAAAACAGGCTTACCTAGAACAAAAACTCCAATGCAAATACCGATAGTTGAATGCAATGAAATCAATTTTACAAGAAAACTCATTCAAAAAAAAAAATCAATAACATCTGAAAAATCGCTTTGGAAGTTAAATACTATATTCGCTCTATTATTAATGCATGCACACATGTAAATTACTGGTAAATATAGTAGTAAAAAAATATTTTAGTAAAAAATAGAATATGCAAAAAATGGTGTGAAAATGTAATTGAAGATGAGAATGTGTTGGAAGTATAATACAGAACAAAAAACATTTCATAGTCAAATAAAGATCTCATTGGAAATAAAAAAACATTGAATTATTCACATATTTACTTTCAAGCTTAGAGACTTTAGCTGACTGTATACACGTATACACCACTAGGATATTTAAATAATAATAATAATAATATTTATATACATTCTTCTATTAACTTACATTACAATGCTACAATGTATCCACCCAATGTAATTTTTTTTACTGGAAGGTATAGCAAATACTACAGCCCCTAATCAAATATATTCTTACATTTATGAATTCCACAATACGAGTTTATCCCAAGTTACAAAACAAGTTACAAGTTACACTGTGAACTTTTCAATGACCTGTATTACACCAAACATAAAAAACATGAAATACAACCTGTTCAATCCTGGTTGTGAATATAATTCCTAGTCACGTAACAATGTTACAAAATATATCGAGTTTCCCCTACATCTAAGCTTTTAGGAAATATATACAAAACCAGTTAAGTAACAGACAGAAACTGATTTAATTTCAGATCAATTTATTCTCTCTCAAGTTGAGAAAGTAGTAGTAGAGGGCTTAGTCTTTTCCACGAAATGAAATGAAACAAAATAAAACGAAACGAAACCCTAACCCTAACCTTAGATTTTGAACGACCTCAAACATCGTCACGTCCGTATTTCACAGTGTGAAATTTTCTCAGATATTATTGGGCCAATAAAAAAAAATGAGAGTTAGGGTTAGGGTTTGGGTTTGGGTTTAGTTTCGTTTCGTTTCGTTTCGCTTTGTGGAAAAGACTAAGTCATAGTAGAGGTTCAGAAAAGTGATTTTTTATACCTGTAGTCACTAGCCCATTTTTTAACAACTACCGTACTATTTTTTTAATGGTATTTTTAAGCAAAATACTATGTTGTCAACAGGTTTGATACATGTTAAGAATTATTATATTTGTTTTGGAATGACAGACAATGACAAGGTGTAACTGCAGGTGCAATATATAGTCTAATATCAAATCTATTGTGTTTGTCAACACAACAAGTGGAAATCTGGTAAAATCAATATTTATCTGAGGTACAGCCTTAAATTCATGACAATTATGTGATTAAATGACAGCATAAAAACCAAAGTCACTCTGATTTCTTACCGGTGTACTGTCAGCCATGTTTGAAATGGGAGAGGTCAGATAACCAATGTTTTCCTTCCGTGCACAATTCATAAAAAAACCTTAAACGTAAGGCTCAAAAAGCTCTGTTTTCAATGAAAGCAAAGCTTGGCTCAATACAAAACATAAGTATAAAAGTTTCAATTTCCCTTTTTGACAAACTCATCAGACCTATCCTCATTTATGGTTGTGATGTTTGGGGTGATGAGTTCTCCACTAAATCACCTATTGAAGACGTTCAATTAAGTT